TTAGTTTTTGGGGTAGATCGTGTATATTTGTAAATAAACTTATACTGTTGCTTCATTTGATGCCCTGTAATATGTGAGTACAGGACAGACTACAGCATTCTTTGTTTAATTAAACACAGAGCGTGAGTGATTTCCTGACATGCTGCATAGGTTGAATGTGAAAATAAACAAAGGGTTCGATCCCTACAGGCCGCTCAACTGTAATACCCTAGCGATGAAGCAAAGGGCAAGTGGCACTATTAGGAAACACGAATGACAGACCAGAGATGGCACACTGCCTCCGTTGAGAGAGAGAGAGAGAGAATGGGCTGTAACGATCCGACCATCTGCCTGACAGCTGCACTCACCGCGTTGTCAACACGCTACAAATGGATGTGCTGTTAGCGTGTAGGTGTAATCCTGACATTATTTTCATCCTACTCCATGCTCACTTTTAAAACACACATGCGCGCGCACACACACACACACACACACACACACACACACACACACACACACACACACACACACACACACACACACACACACACGCACACGCACACGCCCACACACACACACACACACACATACACACATACACACACACACACACACACACACACACACACACACACACACACACACACACATATAGATAGGCTATTTAACACAAGGGGCACACGCACTAGGGGACACAGGTGGAAACTGAGTGCCCAAATGAGCCACAGAGATATTAGAAAGAACTTTTTTAGTGTCAGTGGTTGACAAATGGAATGCATTAGGAAGCAATGTGGTGGAGGCTGACTCCATACACAGTTTCAAGTGTAGATATGATAGAGCCCAATAGGTTCAGGAACCTGTACACCTGTTGATTGACGGTTGAGAGGCGGGACCAAAGAGCCAGAACTCAACCCCCGCAAGCACAACTAGGTGAGTACACACACACACACACACACACACACACACACACACACACACACACACACACACACACACACACACACACACACACACACACACACACACACACACACACACACACACACTCACACACACACACACACACACACACACACCGAAGCTCAACCCTCCTCCAAGCACAAGTAGGTAAGAACAACAACTAGGTGAGTACACAGTAGTGTGTGTAGATAAGAAAGAGTAGATAAGGATGGATAATTTAACACAGGTAGTACACGCCCAAGGGGACACAGGTGGAAATTGAGTACCTAAATGAGCCACAGAGACATTAGAATCATTTTTTTCAGTGTCAGCGAAATGGAATTCATTAGGAAGTGATGTGGTGGAGACTGACTTCATACACAATTAAAAAAGTAGATAGAGCTCAAGAAGCTCTATTGGTGTCTTCAAAATTCTTCAAAATTCTTCAACATTTAAAATACTCAGAGGACTTGACAAGATGAGTAAAGACAAACTATTTACCATTGGATGAACACGAATACTGGAACACAGGTGGAAACTGAGTACTCAAATCAGCCACAGGAACATTTGAAATATATATTTTTTCTGTGTCAGAGTGGTTAACATTGCTAAATATCTCACGTCGGTGGAAGACAGAAGAGCCCGGGAAGACATGACCACCACATCAAAAATTCTCAGGGAGAATTGACAGGGTGGACAAGGATGGATTATTTAACAAGGGTGGTACACGCACAAGGGGACACAGGTGGAAGCTGAGTACCCAAATGAGCCACAGAGATATTCGAAAGAAACTATTTAGTTTCAGAGCAGTTAGTAAATGGAATGCACTAGGAAGTGATGTGGTGAAGTGATATATCATTCCGTGAGGGAAATTATGAGGAGATAAGAAAATTCCTAACGGATATAACATGGAAATCAGAGCTAAGGGAAAAGACCGCACAGGACATGATGGGATACATCACGCAGAAGTGGAAGGAGGCAGCAGAACAGTTTATCCCGACCCAAAAGGTGAAAAATTAAATGCAGATGAGAAACCCATGATTTAATCAGAGATGTAAGCTAGCTAAGCAACAAAGTAAAAGAGCATGGAGAAACTATAAAAATATCAGGACACTTGAAAGTAGAGAAGGTTACCAGAGAGCCAGGAATGAATACGTCAAGGTGAGAAGAGAGGCAGAAAGGAAATATGAAAACGACATAGCAAGCAAGGCTATATCCCATATTACTATAACCCATCCCAAATTGCTGCACAGCCACATCAGGAGAAAGACAACAGTGAAGGCACAGGTAATGAAACTGAGGATAGGGGCAGACAGATTCACTACAAATGACAAAGAAGTGTATTAGGAACTCAATATGAAATTCCAGGAAGTCTTCACATAAGAGCAAGAAGAAGTTCCAGAAATAAGAGAAGGAACAATTAACCTGGCACCACTAGAGGATATTGAGATTACCAGTGGAGATATAAGGAGGCTTTTGCTAGAGTTGGATGTGACAAAGGCTATAGGCCCGGATGGAATATCGCCATGGATACTAAAGGCAAGAGCAAAAGCACTGTGCCTGCCACTCTCCATGATGTATAACAAATCACAGGTAACAGGTGAACTGCCAGAAATATGGAAGGCGGCAAACGTAGTCCCGATTTTCAAGAAGGGGGATAGACAGGAGGCACTTAACTACACTCCAGTGTCCCTAACTAGCATACCATGCAAGCTAATGGAGAAAATTGTGCTAAAAAAGCTAGTCGAACACCTGAAGCGAAGGAACTTTGTGTCACAACACCAACATGGTTTCAGGGATGGCAAGTCATGCCTCACAGGAATAATTGAATTCTACGATCAGGCAACAAGAATCAGACAAGAAAGACAAGGGTGGGCAGACTGCATATGTTTGGATAGCCAGAAAGCCTTTGACACAGTGCCACACCAGAGACTAGTGCGAAAGCTGGAGATGCAGGCAGGAGTGAAAGTGAAGATACTCCATTGGATTAGAGAGTACC